CAATGTATGAAATCTGATTGAGAACTAACACACGCTTACTCCTATCCCTAACAATGTTAATCCCTAGGATCCTTTTGGCATCACCTAGGTCTTTCATAGCAAAGTTCTCACTGAGACGCTTTTGCACACATTTAATGGCGTCACCCGAAGGACTCACAATAAGCATATCATCCACATATAGCAATAAAAATACAGGCACAGAGGAAGTATTTTTAAAGTATAGGCAATGGTCGCATTCGGACTTGTGGAATTTCAAAGATGACATGCACTGGTCAAATTTGATATTCCACTGCCTCGGGGACTGCTTCAGGCCATACAAGGCCTTCCTAAGCAAACACACATGATCACTCTTCATGGGATCCACAAAGCCCTCAGGCTGGGACATATAGATTTTCTTATCTAAATCACCATGCAAGAATGCAGTGGTGACGTCCATTTGCTTCATTTCCCAATCATTATGAGCAACAAGAGCAAGCATCATACGAATCGTAGTAAATTTAACTACAGGAGCAAAGATTTCAGCATAATCAACACCTTCCTTTTGAGTAAATCCCTTAGCTACTAACCTAGCCTTATATCTAATGTCGTTAGGCTCTTCCTTAACCTTAAATAGCCACTTACAGGCAACAACGGAACTATTGGGCGGTCTAGGAACTAACGTCCAAGTCTTATTCGCTCTAAGTGACTCCATCTCACTTTCCATGGCGCAAAGCCATTTAGCGGACTCATTAGACTTAAGGGCCTCTCTATAGGTTCTAGGTTCGTTAAGCTCAAGGGTCTCAAACACAGAGAAAGCAAACATAGAAGTATCACACATATGGAAAGCATAATCAGGCATACTATCAGCAGTTCTCCTAATTACTCTCCTACTTCTATCTCTAGCAAGTTGATAATCATGCAAATCATTCTCACTAGCATCCGCACTCTCATCATGCGATTCATTGTCATTTGAATGCACATGAGAATGCTCCACCTCACTCGAAGTGGTGGTAGTATCATGCTCAGAAGAATCAGAATCATGCAATTCAGAAGAATTAGAATCATGCAAAACAACATTATCATGATTAGCAAACAAAGGGCTAGCAGCACGTGGTATGGACTCCACCTCAACGGGTGTACTACTAGGATCAGACTCAGAATCAGGAACTGACTTAACCAGACAAGGAAACTCGGATTCATTGAAAACAACGTTTCTACTCACCACAACTTTGAAACCTACCTGGTTCCTATCCCAAACCCTATACCCCTTCACACCCTCGGGATAACCTAGGAAGACTCCTTTCTTAGACCTAGGATCCAACTTGTCACCTTGTTGGTGCACATACGCTGCACACCCAAACACTCTAAGATTAGACAAATCAAGGGGTTTGTTTGAAAAAACAGATTCAGGGCACTTCCCACCCAAGGGAACAGAAGGAGACCGGTTAATCAAGTAGACAGCAGTGTTAACTGCTTCACCCCAAAACTTTTTAGACAAACCGGCGGTGGCAAGCATACTCCTAACCTTATCTAGAACAGTCCTATTCATCCTCTCGGCTATCCCATTTTGTTGGGGAGTATAGGGCACAGTTTTGTGCCTTCTAATCCCACAATCAACACACAGTTGGTCCATATCCTTATTGCAAAACTCTAGACCATTATCTGTCCTAAGGGTTTTGACCTTCTTACCAGTTTGATTTTCTACAAGGTTTTTCCACTCCCTAAACTTCACAAAGACATCGGACTTATGCTCAAGGAGACGGACCCACACCTTCCTAGAAAAATCATCAATGATGGACAGAAAATATCTCTTACCCCCGTGGGTAGAGACACTAGCAGGACCCCACACATCAGCATGAACATACTCTAACACAGAGGTACACTTAGTAGGATTAGGATATGGGGAGGAGGGGAATGTAACCTTATGCTGCTTGCCTAACACACAAGATTCACAGAAGGGGATGGGGGACACAGAATCCTTACCAAAACAACCAGATTTATGCAAAATCTCTAAACCCCTATTACTCATGTGTCCTAATCTATTATGCCACAAAGCAGATTTATCAGAACTAACAACATGAGCAGAATCACAGAAAGGCTGAGCATGGCACACATACAAGTTATTCACCTTTTTTGCCTTAAACAAAACAAGGGAATTTTTCAAAACTTTCATGCACCCATTACCCCATTTACCCTCTAACCCACTACCCTCAAAAGCAGCAACAGAAAACAAGTTATGACGCAAATCAGGAACATGCCTCACATTTTTCATAGTAAAAACAGTTCCATTATCAAACTTCAAGCATACATCACCCACCCCATGAATTTTGCATTTCTTATTATCAGCAAGAGACACAAAACCATCATTGCAAGAATCATAAGAAGAAAACAGGGATCTAAAAGGTGTCATATGATAAGTACAACCAGAGTCAATCAACCACTCATTTTCAGTCATGCTACTCAACACAGAATTGGCAGAATCACAAATCATAAAAACTTCTTCATGCAAGTTATTATCATCTACCACATTAGCATGTTCAGACTTCTTCGGATGGGGACAATCCTTAATGAAGTGACTAGAATTACCACAATTATAGCACACTCTCTTCTTAGACTTACCTCTCTTCTTCCCCGGGTCATTGTTTTTGTTCTTATCGTTGTTGCCCTTCTTATGGTTTCTAGATCTACTCTTAGACCTACCCCTCACAAACAACGCTTCACCAGAGTCCCTAGACTGACTGTTACTACCCCTCGAGTGTCTAAGGTCTAACTCCTTACTCCTTAATCCATTAACGACTATATCTAACGAGATATCGTCTCTACCATACTTTATGGCAGATTTGACGTCATTGTATGAGTCAGGGATGGCATTAAGTAACACTATGGGTGTGTAGTCATCTATGTGTTTATCACCAGCTTGCTTAATGTTCTGGATAAGCTTGTTAAACACATCTAGGTTCTCATCTATGTCCTTAGACAGGTCAAGCCTAAATCTAAAGAACTTCTCAAGCAAAAACAATTTACCAGGCAAAGAAGTATCGGTATACAACTTATCTAACTTGTCCCACAAATCCTTCGCGGAATCTATAATACCCACCTTCCTGAGCACTGAATCAGACAGGTTCAGGTATATAGAGGAACAAGCAGTTTCATTCATCTCAACACGCTTTGCAGCATCCTCAGAGTCTAAATAGAGACCAGTCACAGCTCTATAGACTTTCTGTTGGATAACCACACATTTGATTTTCTGTTTCCAGATATCAAAATCTGTCTTTCCGTTAAATGGAAGCATGCCATATTGATTGACAGCCATATTAACCGGAAAGCAAGCACAACACGCAAGAGAGTAAATAAAAAAAAAATTATCAGGCTATCAACCGGTACGAAGCAACTAGCACGAACAAGCCGAGAAGACCAATGAACACAAGGCTCGGGTACAATCTCCTTGTTCTTTCGTACAAGCACAGATAAAATTTTTATTTACTCAACAGACAGATAAATGATTAATTATAACCTATAGGGCTATCAATTGTACGAAGCAACTAGCACGAACAAGCCGAGAAGACCAATGAACACAAAGTTCGGGGTACAATCTCCTTGTTCTTTCGTACAAGCACAAATAGGCTAAAAATAAATCAATAGGCAAAGAAACTGGATTTAAAACTAATCCGGACAGAAATATTCCCAACTTCGGACAACAAGTATCCAAACAAATATTCTTAACCGGAGAGTTTATCCACGAATCAATCAACAGAAAAAACAAAATAAAAAATTCAACACGTGATTAAATTTAAACCGGAAGAAATATTCACAACTTTGGACAACGAGTATCCAAACAAAATATTCTTCACCAGAAAATTAATTCACGATTCAACAAGTAATCACAATTCAACTAACAAGTAAATAGCAATTCAACTTGAAATTAAAACAAATGAACTACGAATAAAAATCACACAAAGGATTAGTAAACGTACCAGGGGCCGGACACAGCCGGCATCCAAGACCACGTAGGTCAGCAGCGGGCAGCGGGGAACGGGGGGGAAAAATAAATCCGGTGGCACTCCGGTACACCAAGGATGTTAAACGCCAATTTACCTGAGCGGGGCCCGAGGTTGGGTTACCCGACTTACCGTAGGCAGCGTGGGCTGCTGTAGAGCGTGGCAGCAGCGGATTGGACTGGCGGCAGAGCTCCCTCGCAGGCGGCAGCAGGTCTGGACCGGTGAAGGCAGCAGCTTCTGGACTGGCTGAACTGCTTCAAGCTTCCCCGGACTGTCTGAAGCTTCTGGACAGCGTCTGGACTCCGGCAGAAGGTCTGGACAACTCCGGTGGCGGCGGCTGAACGTTCGACGGCGGCAGACGGCGGCGAGACGGCGGCGGGCGGCGACTGGCTCTGATACCACTGTTATTCAGCTACTCTTCCAGCTCAGGTCTCCAATTTCATCCACAAAGGATGAAAAATACCACTAGAGGTCTCAAGGGGAGTTTGTGGGCATCTGCCTACAACCTATTTCCGGCCAATTTCGGTTCTGGCTCCACCGAGGAGCAAAGGTGTGAATTTAGGAGAGGAATATGAAGGGTTTCGGCCAGACCTATTCCGAGAAGGAGAGGTATGAAATATATAGGGCAAGCTCAAAAACAGAGATGGTAATACTTACCATACATAAGAGATACGCTCTGTGACGTAGAAGGAAGGCCAAGGAGAAATCGCGCAGTGAATCGAGCAAGGGAGAAAATCGCACAGGCAAGGCGGTTCCAATTGGGCCGGGTATATCAAGGGAAATTGGGCTAAAGGGAAAGAGGGGGCCAATACCAACATTACCGAAAAGGAAAGTGTGAAGAATTTTGAGGGACGGAAGGAGTATTATCTATGCTGTTTGAATCAGATATGTTTTAAGACTAAACCGTTTCTCAATCATCATATTTTCATGGTATGAGACTATGAAGTAGGCAAGAAATGCAAATACAATGACCTATAAACTTGCTAAAATGACATTAACTACTAACTCATACTTCTCAATAAATTGACAATTTGCAAGATTTTCCCCTACTTTAATGTAATACAGTGTTTGTCAATTAATTTCATCAATGAAAATACTTGGACTGTTTTGCTTGAATTGAAACGATGGTCCCAGCAACTTAAAGTAGAATACACAACTGTGTGGTTGCTTGAATATCACATGGGAATACTTGTGTAAGGTTGGTTTCTTGTTTTGTCAGCTTGCCTTATCAAAAGTGTTTTTTCCTGTTGACATATGATCAACACCAAGTTTAGTAGGATCCACAAGTCTATGTTAGGCTGTTGAATGTGGACATATGGTCATGAGCTATTGAGTATTGAGCTGATTTGTTAGCATCTTTTTTCAATTTCCACTTATTGTTATCTCCACTTGCAATTGGAATATGCATTTATAAAGTTACTTATGCTATACTCCCTCCGTTCTTTAATATTAGTTCTCTTAGGCTTTGGCACGGGTTTTAAGAAGAAAGTAGTAGGGGTAGTGTAAAAGGTGTAATGAGTAGTGGATAAATAAAAAAGTAGGAAAGAGAAAGGGGTAATGGTAATAAAAGTTGGGGTATAAAGGTATATTTTGAGTAAAAACTTTCCTTAAATGGAAAGGAGGACAGATAAAAAAAACATCCCAAAAAGGAAAGAAGGACTAATAAAAAAGAACGGAGGTAGTATTTCATCTCTACGTTTAGTGGTTTTGTGATTTTTTCTATGAGCATAGGCCTCCCGGATAACTAAAATGCATAATTGAGAAATCACTGGCTTGACTACTTTTTAGAACTGCTAGAATCTTACATTTTAGCACATGTTATGAAATGCTAGGGATTTTTTTTTGGATTTGGTTGAAACGGAGATATCTATTGTCAATTATAGCATTTCTTAATCTGCAACAAAGTTACCTCATCTATTTTATTATACATGGTATAAGTATCATGACTTTTTTGGTATAAAGCTCACCTACTTTTGTTCCCCACAAAAAAGGAGTAGTTGTATAATGCCTTGTGAGGACTGAGGCATGGCTTCTGAGGTCACATTGGGTGTGTGTCAAAACCACAATGGTTGTTATAGAACGATGGTTGTGGACCCACGTGAAATTCATGCTGGTCCATGCAATAAACCAATGTGAGTTTGACACTGTGGCATTGGCATGTGCTAAAATATCGCAGTATATGATCTCTTCAAGTTTAAATATCAGTAACTTCTAATCCCCTACCTGTAGTTGGTCAATTTGGTAAAATTAACTTTGGTCCATTTGGCATAATCCCAAAACAGTTTCTAAAGGGTCTTAAACAATTGGATCCTCTTTTCCTGGATGGCATCAATTCTACTTCTCTATATGTAGCAGATGGTCTGCTCTTTCTTTTTTGCAATGTCTTAACCCACATAGAATTATAGCCTTACCAACAAATTTGCACGATATATTGTATTTCCTAATTCTTGATTTTGTTACTAATTCCATAGAAACAAGTGATGGGAGAAGAAGCGTCAACAGATGATAATAGCAGAAGCAGTTTCAGTTTCGCCCTCCATTTCTTCAGGGGGAGATGGTTCTCACTCTTTGCCTCATTCCTGATTATGGCCGGGGCGGGAGCTACATATTTATTTGGTGTGTATTCTCAGGAGATAAAGGCCTCTTTGGGGTATGACCAAACCACCCTCAACCTCCTAGGCTTTTTCAAGGACGTTGGGGCCAACGTTGGAGTGCTCTCCGGCCTTCTTGCCGAGGTTTCCCCGACATGGTTTGTTTTATTAGTCGGTTCCGCCATGAACTTCGCCGGCTACTTTGTTATATGGTTGGCAGTAACAGGGAAGATTCCAAAGCCGACTGTCTGGCAGATGTGTTTGTACATTTGCATAGGAGCTAATTCTCAGAACTTCGCCAACACTGGGGCTCTGGTGACTTCTGTAAGGAACTTTCCTGAGTCTCGTGGGGCTATGATAGGTCTCCTGAAAGGTTTCACCGGGCTAAGTGGGGCCATCATGACTCAGCTCTACCTTGCTGTTTACGGGAGTGACTCCAAGTCTCTCATCCTACTTATTGCCTGGCTTCCGGCTGCATTGTCAGTGGTGTTCGTGTACACGATTCGGGAGATTAAGGTTGTTAGGGACAAGAGAGAGCTCAGTATGTTCTACCTATGCCTACTTTCATCCATTGTCTTAGCGTTGTTTATAATGGTGATGACAATCCTCCAAAAGGTGGTTTTGTTTTCAGGGGCAGCTTATGATGTCAGCGCCGCTGTTTCTTGCATTTTGCTATTTTCTCTGATGGAAAAACTAATCATCATATATAACCAAGATCAAATAACATCACACAAATAATCATAATTGTAAATTTATGGAGACTTACTTGGAGAGTATCCAATGTTCATTTGAGAGACTTTGGAAGAAGAAGATGCCATTACTTTAAGGAAATGGATGTGTAATCCCTTTTAGGACAAATAATAGATGGAGTATTTTAGAGAGTTGTGATATTCCCTCCTCTTGATGGTGTTGGTACGTGTGTTTCATGAGGGAAGGGGAGGAGTAGTTATATATTGAAAATAATCAATAGTCACAACCTTTCATTTATTGTCCTAAAGGGTGTTACCACAATGGTACCCCTTAAGTATTATTTCCATCAAATAATACACACACATATATAATACATAATTATATATATAATACATAAATATAGAACACATATTAATATTGGTCCTTAGGCCATATTAATTGGAAATAATCCAACATTCTCCCACTTGGCCTAGTGACCAATAATTGCTAATTAGTTGGCCAAGCATGTGTTCTAAATACCCAATATCTATACTATAATAGAGAAGTACAGCCACTCACATCTATTTAGATACGGGACCCCCACTAATCATACTATAGCACATGTATTAGGACATTAAGGTCATTAAACATAAATGATCAAATGTAATGTGGTAATCAATATTAATTTGTCCATGATACCAAAGTTAGTGCGCACGGTATACATATAATAGACAATTAAGAATTCAAGTATTTATTTATATACATGAATTGTTCATAAGAGCACTATGCCAATTAAGTGAGGTCTCGACTAAAACCCATTTTCATCACATGTTCTTGAAAAATCTTGGGTGGTAGACCTTTTGTCATCGGATCCGCAAGCATATCATGAGTGCTAATGTACTCGATAGAAAGATTATTTTCTTCAACTCGTTCACGTACAAACAAGAACTTTGTATCGAGATATAATCCGGCCCCGCTCGAACTATTTCCATTTGAAAAGCTCACGGCGGCAGAATTATCACAATAAATCTTCAACGGTCTTGAAATGGAGTTAACTATTTTGAGTCCCTTGATCAAATTCCTCAATAACATTCCGTGACATGTTGCGTTATAAACAGCAACATATTCAGCCATCATAGTAGAGGTAGTGGTCAATTGTTGTTTCTGACTCCTCCATGAAATGGGCCCGCCTGCCATCATAAAAATGTATCCCGACGTCGATTTTCTATCGTCTTTGCATTTAGCGAAATCGGAGTCGGAATATCCCGTTACTTCTAAATCGTTTGTTCCTTTATAAGTCAGTTTGTAATCCTTAGTCCCCTGAAGATATCGTAAGACCTTCTTAGCAGCCTTCCAATGATCAAGGCCAGGATTATGCTGATATCGGCCTAACATACCGGATATGTAAGCGATATCGGGACGAGTACAAACTTGAGCATACATCAAACTTCCAACTATGGATGCGTAAGGAATCAACCTCATTTGATCCTTTTCTAATTCCGTTTTTGGACATTGAAATGAGCCAAAAACATCTCCTTTAACAACGGGAGCAACTGAGGGAGAACAATGTTGCATATTAAAGCGTGCGAGTATACGTTCCACGTATGCCTTTTGAGACAGTCCTAATGTCCTATTGGCCCGATCTCGGTGAATTTCGATGCCTATAACATAAGAGGCCTCTCCGAGATCTTTCATGTCAAAGTGTCGTGAAAATAATCGTTTTGACTCATGCAACAAATCGACACTGTTACTTGCCAAGAGGATATCATCAACGTAAAGAACAAGTATCGCAAAATTGCTCCCACTCATTTTGAGGTAGATACACTGATCCACTTGATTTTTATAGAAGTCGTTCTTTTTCATGACTTCATCAAATTTTAGATACCACTGGCGTGATGCTTGTTTTAGCCCATATATTGATTTCTTAAGTTTGCACACCAGATGTTCTTGACCCTTAGTCGTAAAACCTTCCGGTTGAGTCATATATACATCTTCATGTAAATCACCATTAAGAAAAGCAGTCTTAACATCCATTTGATGTAGCTCTAAGTCGAAATGAGCTACTAAGGCCATAACAATCCTTAGGGAATCTTTTCTTGAAACAGGAGAGAAAGTCTCCTTGTAATCAATTCCCTCCTTTTGGGTGTAGCCTTTGGCGACCAATCGTGCTTTGAAGCGCTCGACGTTTCCATTTGCATCTAATTTTGTTTTGAAGACCCACTTGCATCCTACTGGTTTTACACCGTTAGGCAATTCAACAAGTTCCCATACGTCATTTTTACTCATGGAATCAAGCTCGTCAATCATTGCTTCATTCCATTGAGTAGATTGGTCACTACAAATGGCCTCAATATAAGAGGTCGGATCATCACATTTTCCTAGATCGGCCTCATTAAGATAAATAACATAATCATCAAAATTAGTAGGCCGTCTAGATCTTTGTGATCTTCTCAATGGTGGTTCGGGCTCTTGAAGATCAGTGATAACTTCGGGGATTTGCCCAGCTTGAGATATTTCATTATTTTCCTCAAAAGCTGATGTTTCTTCATTTTGTGGCACATAGGGAGCAGCATTACCTTCGACAGATGAACTTGGCAGGGTAGTATTATCTACAAGAGGTACAAGAGGTTGAAAAGGTATAGAGAACATTCCCCCTTCCTCTTGCACATCTTCTTGTAATTCAACATCATCAATACACTTGCTCCCACTAATGTTTGAGTTCTCTAGGAACTCAGCATGTCGAGTCTCAACAATGCGAGTAGTGTGAGATGGGCAATAAAATCGATAACCCTTTGAGCGTTCAGGGTATCCTATAAAGGAGCAACTGACGGTTTTCATGTCGAGCTTCCTTTGTTGGGGATTATAAAGCTTGGCTTCAGCCGGGCAGCCCCATACTTTCATATACCTAAGACTCGGTTTCCTTCCCGTCCAGATTTCATAAGGGGTTTTAGGAACAGATTTAGAAGGAACCCTATTGAGTATATGAACTGCCGTTTTTAAGGCCTCGGTCCATAAAAACTTAGGTAGGCTTGTATTGGCTAACATACTTCGTACCATGTCCATAAGGGTCCTATTTCTTCTCTCAGCGACACCGTTTTGCTGAGGAGTACCCGGCATGGTAAATTGATTCACGATCCCATGTTCCTTACAAAATTCAAAGAAGGGTCCGGGAGCCTGACCTATATCAGTATGTCGACCATAATACTCGCCTCCTCTATCTGATCTCACTACCTTTATCTTACGGTCGAGTTGATTCTCAACTTCGGCCTTAAAGGTTTTGAACATGTCAAGTGCATCAGATTTTTCATTGATTAAGTACAGGTACATATATCGCGAATAATCATCTATGAAAGTGATAAATGACTTATGTCCAGTTATCCCAGCGGGAAAAGGACCACAAATGTCAGTATGAATTAATTCCAGTAAACCGGAACTCCTTGTGGCGCCTCTTTTATTTCCCTTTGCCATTTTCCCTTTAAGGCATTTTACACATGTTTCAAAATCACTAAAATCGAGAGATGGTAATATTCCATCCTTCACGAGCCTTAGCATTCGATCCTGTGAAATGTGGCCCAAACGTTGATGCCACAACATGGATGAAGCTTCCATGTCTCGTTTTCTTTTGATTGGATTTTCATTGATATTATATGACAACAAGGATTTCGAAAAGGTATCATCCAAGCATAATTTATAAAGGTTGTCTTCTAAGCAACCATAACCAACAACATCGGAATCTTTACATATAGTAACTTTACCATTATTAAAAGTTAATACATAGCCATTATTGTTTAACTTAGGTACAGATACTAAATTCCGAGTAATGCTCGGTACATATAATGTGTCATATAAATACATGCAGAAGCCACCTTCCAATACTAAAGGTAAGGTACCGACAGCTTCAACATTAAGGTCTTCACCATTCCCGATTTTAATGGTCCTTTGGTTTCTTTCCAACCTCCGGATTGTATGGAATCCCTGTAAGGAGTTTGTAACATGAACCATGGAACCAGAATCAATCCACCATGTGTTTATTGGAACACTTATATTAAAGGACTCATAAATCATAAATAGATGTGTACCTTTCTTGGCTAACCATTCCTTGAACTTAGAGCACTCTCGTTGAAAATGCCCTTTCTTATGGCAAAATTTACAACGAGGAGGACCCTTGGCATTGGTTGAGCCTGCGAGTGCACTTGTACCAGTTTTGTGGACCTTTGAGCTTTCACCAGTCTTGAACTTGCCCTTTCTCTTGCTAGTGTTTGTGGTTGTGAGATGAGCGACATCAGGCCTTTCCACTTTGAGGCGCTCCTCCTCTTGTACACACATTGCAATTAACTCACTCATTTTCCATTTTTCCTTTTGAGTGTTATAGTTAATTTTAAAAGGACCAAATTGTGCGGGCAAGGAGGTCATAATGAAGTGGACTAAGAAGCCCTCACTAATCTCCATATCCATGCTCTTAAGTTTGTTAGCCATGTCACTCATCATCATAATGTGCTCACGCACACCACTCACACCATCATATTTCTTTGTCAACATTTGCAAGATTAATGTACTCGCATGAGCCTTGGAGGTGCCCTTGAATTGCTCCTCTACGGAGTCCAAGTAAGTTTTCGCATTGTCTGAATCCGGTATGGCTCCACGAATGGCAACCGAGATGGAATTCTTTATGATCATAAGAGACATGCGATTTGATCTCTCCCATTGTTCATGCACTCGTTTATGCTCTTGAGTACTTTCAGCGGTGAGTGCAGCGGGAGGATCATGTCTTAGGGCATAATCAAGATCCATGACTCCAAGGGTTAGTCTGACATTGTCTCTCCATGACTCAAAATTAGTGCCAGTTAAGGGTTCAATCCCACAATTTGATGTTAAAGTGGCTGTTGGAAATTATAAAGTTTAAGTGTATGCAAAAAACGATTTGAACGAGAAAAAATATAATTGACAACACCGAAATAATACGTCAGTAAAATTATCTATTATCAACACCGAAATAATAGATTCTAAAATGTCTTGTTTAACCATTGGTTTCACTTTGGCTAATTCCAATCATTAAACGTAATGACATTATAATCATTATAATTTACTACATAGACATCCCACGTCACCTTTGGGCAGAAATGCGATGTCTATGTTCATAAAGTCAATACTACAATCATATGTACCATCAAACAACTAGCCGTTGGGTTCATTGTATAATGTTACACGTAATTTGCACAAAATCTCAGATTAGAGCATGTGATCTTATCTTTCATAAAATTGATTCTAGAGCATAAAAGGGTGCAAAATTATCCAAATCAACCTAAATGTCTTCCGTTGGGCCGACAATTTAAGTTCATAATTCAATGGATTCAAATCAATTTATAAGGAAAACACAAAATCATATAATCATAATTCATAGCATGGCACGTTAATTAAAACTTTTTAACAATAATATGCACACTATCATAATAACAGTTTAAGATGCACGCTTAATGACAAACTTAAAGTTATACTCCAGACTAAAAGTTTTACATGATGTACTTCATCATAATAATTACTAGTATATTCCATTTATGTGATGTATAAAAAATTACATCATTATACTCCAGGCATTGAGGCATTCAAAAGAATCCTCCAGAATTATACGAAGTAATATAGTTATATGAAAAAATAAATTACAAGTAATAGTTTATCCTTGGTAGTAACTGATTACAATGCAACACGTAATCCACAACACATACTCCGACTTTAATACGAAGTATACAGATTTAATATACTCGTTAATATGAAGCACTCCGGTAGATATATACTCCGTATAACAGTACACCGACACCATGAAAGGATGCACATACATACCCACATACGCCACAACATCACGA